CCTTTCTCTCCCCAAACATATTCCTCTTGATCCTGGCCTGGATAATCCCAAGACCATTTATGCAGTCTCTCAAGCAATCCATCTCCAAGGCATTGTTGATGATTCTGTTTCCATGACCCCTGTCCCACATCCCTCAGGAACTATCTTTTGGCTTTATTCTAAATCCTTCTTAAACCTGGACCCTCTTCATCCTCACTGCCCTGAGTGGGCCAGAGTGGGACCCTTGCCCACAGCCTCCACAATGTTTTCTCTGCTTCCATTTGTCTGCCTTTCCAGACCTGAGGTATTCCTGATTCAGATAGGTTTGTTTTTGTCACTCAAAAACAGCAAAACAACAACAAAACACACCTCAGGTGGCCTGTTCTTCCTAAAACAGTACTTCTCCACATGTGGGATGAATTTCCCTTCAGTGTCTAAGATGGTACACAGCAACCTTGCTAAATACCCCTGGCTTATAGGATAAGAGTGCTGTCCTCCTTTCAATCCTTTTTCTTCTAATTCTTTTAAGGATTCTCAGTTTAGTTCTAAAAGAAATTTAATTTCTCTAAAAACCTAAAATCTCCCTTTAGAAAATGAGATCGCACACCTCAGACTGAGAGGCTTTCATAAACAAAGAATTAATAGGAATGTTTTATATTCATCATGTTGACTTTAATGAGGATCTTGAATTGACTGCAAGTAACACTGGTTTACGTGTAAACATCTGTTTACAGTAATGACAAAGTTTCTTTTAAAAACAAATGTTTAAAAGCTGAGTTTTACATAAAAATTGGATACTAATTAGAATAAATTATACCCTGCCCGTGTATGTATGTCAAAATATACTCTACTGTCATGTATATCTAAAAAAAAAAATTAAGTAAAAAATTTAAATCAGTGTTTTAGAAAAGCAAATAGATAACAGTATAAGTGGTTTTCAGGTAAAGCAAAAATAGCAGAGATAGACCTTGGATATAACACATGTTGTGGAATTGAGTTGTTTGGGAAACCCTGGCTTTTGGATTAATATCTAAATTCTTCAGCATGATATGTAGTACTTCTTCTATTCACTAATTTACCTTTTGATCTCAGCACTCATAATTCACAAAATACTAGTTTCCCCTGCTTCTCCATTGCTAAATTCACCTATTTTTGGATATATTATGTTCCTCCTTCACTGCTTCTGTCCTTGGGCTCATTCTCTCTTGCAGTCTTCTCTGGCTGGGACTTGAGATCAGCACACAAGATGCCATCAGGTGTTATCCCACTGATGCACTTCCTCTGATTTTTTGCAGGGAGTCACTGCTCCTTGCTTCTCAGTGCTGATAACACCTGTACATACTCACAGTTGGGTATTTCTCAAGGTGATGCACCTGTTTACTCATGCATCAGTCTCACCTCTCTCTTGAGAGTCCCTCAAGGGCAAAGGTTGCTCAAGAACCTACTTGTGTTTATGACTAGCCCTTTGTCTAGCACAGTACCTTTAAGATATTGGTGTGCTCAATGGCTAA